TACTTTAACATTCAAGACGTAAGCTGACGCTGTTGGTAGTGTCCTTGCGATTCCGTGACAATCTTCCTCCCCGGAACAGCTCTATCGCGCAGTAACCTGTGAAGATCCGGGTTAAAATTGGTCTTCAGTAACCCATGCTCGTAAGAGGCAACTAACGGGATCAGGTGGTCAGGCTCTCTGACTTGGTTGATACATGTCATCGCATCCTAATTGCGGAGATCGATGCTCATGCTGTTGATCACTGAATTGTCTGGTCCACACTCGATTATTTACATAAAGTTGGATTATTGCCGAGCGCGGCGTAAAATTAAACTCACTCATTCTATCGGGCACTACTAAGTTTTGCACTGCATATGTTATTGGGGCAGCAAGCGTGGAATTGGGATCAAGGCTTCAAGTAGCACTATTCATTTCTGCTGCCTTTTGCTACTAGTGATTTTTAGATTTGTATTTTATCCTTTGACTTTGATATTGAAGTGTACCTGACAAAGAAGTACAAAGTTACGAATCCCAATTCCATGTTATTGTTTTGATAGCTCAATAACTACTCTTGTAATCGGACGGACAGACTAGGCAGACATTCCCTCATCAAGTTGGATTGTGAGCCGTCACCTTTCCATCAACTCGTCCAAAAGGAAAGAAGTATCCGTTTCTTAAGTTTTAATTAATATCATTTCGATCACTGTAACTGAATCAGTCACCAATGCAAATGTATTTAAACATAAAAAACTCACGGATTACAAACATATTGATGACACAGTAACTGTTATTACCACCTGATGCCAAACTTTAGTTTTCAAATTACCTTCCATATATGTATTTCTGTAACCTACTATAATTATCAACAATACATTTTCTTATACTAAAACAATTCCATGTTTGTGTTTCCTTCATAGTATGTCACTGTATTTAATAAATGGGTCATGCCATTTATATTTCTTAATAACAACCAGTTAAAACAGTCACGGTTATATTGATTTGCTTTCACACTATGAGATTATTGGGTGGGGAATTACTGCATCAATGTATACTTGTAACTATGAGTTTTCAAGTTGAATATTCATATGTTTGTAACTGGCTTTCTTTAAACATCTTGGATACATAATGTGACAATTTACGTTTCACAAGCATGGTTACATATTAACAAACCACTCTTATTTATTTTAAAACAATACGCTGACCTATGTTATTGCAGAGATGAAGATATCACCTGACGGGTCGACCTGCGTAGTTTCAAGGTCATTCGACGTCAACCCGGCCGTTGAACGCTGGTCCCCAGACGGTGTCCTCCCATTTGTGAGAACTTCCAGTTGTGAGACACATTAATTTATGGTTCAGTGCACACAGTTGGTGCTTCCCCATTCCTACGATGAAAGTGGGAACAGCCCTGCTGCTGAAGAGTACCCGCAGGATAGTTCATTAATGAGTTAATTAACACAGAAGACATTGTTCGTTGAAGAGCATTTATTGTTTTCAATAAAGAACAAGTTAGATACTGAAATACTGGAAAAGATTATCATTTTATTTACACAGAAGAAATAGTTCATTAAATATTTCATTATGATTTATGATTCACACATTTTGATGATTAACACATTTGATTAACTATTATGATGTTTGCGTGTCATTATAAAACACTTTTGTACATGGGTCCATATTTGGAGATCTTGACACTTTTCATATTTCCAGTAGTTTGCCGACTGCATCAAGATACTGCATGTGATTTTTCGTTCCATCGGCGAGTTGATCTTTGAGTCTATGTAGGCGATTGTCTATTTCCCTATACACGCGTTTCCTCGATCGAGGGGTGCCTCCCAGGTCGAGTTGGCACAGCTTGGTCTTCTCTGCCTTCTCTATTTTCGGAGGCGGTGGACATCTTCTGGAGAATGGTCATGATCGGTCACATTCAAAACAAAGTCGCCGACTTTAGTGCATTTGCCGTTGCACGTTGTTTTTGTACATCTCCAATAGGTACAAATCTGGCGCTGCTTGTTCTTGTAATACAGGCAGGGATACTCTCCCCGTTATATAGTCACCTTGATACAGGTAACCCTGATACAGGTAACCCTGAAAGAGCACCTGAATACTGCCTCGTGAACTGGTGATATATTCTACTTGTTAAAGGCCTGCCATAATGGTGATCGGAAAGAGCAGTCAAATTTTAATAAATACATTTGGATTAATTATAGTTACAAGTTATTGCTAGATTTTTCAAACACGTAAATCTGAGTAGGTGGATTACTTTCTCTTTCAAATGATCACGAAGTTACCTACACAAAGCGTTTATTTTTTTAAAGCCATTTACCTGAGTAGGTAAATTACTTTATCCTTTAGAGTTTCATTAAGTTACCTACACAAGATTCAATTAAATAGCTAATCCCTAATTAGCTGGGGTTAATCCATTCTATCAGATAGGGGAGTAAGGTGTGTTTTCTTTGCTAATTACCTACTCCACTGTCTCACAACTGGGAGTCCTCACAAATGGGAGTAGACCCAAACATCAATTAAAGTGTTTACAAACAATCTAAAAATGAACATGGATACATTTTAAGAGTAGAAATTTTACTTGAAAAAGGTTGAAGGAACTTTGACAAATTCGTCCAGGAACAATAAGGTTCTTTTAACAAAGATCATAATTCATTACATGAATTAATAAAACTATAGTTAAGTAGGGTCACGTACGTGCTGAAGCATGAAACAACTGAAACTTCATCTCAGTTAAGAGGCTAACAGAACGATGGGGTCGCGCGCTAATCTGAAGTACGGTAATCCAATGTTTATAGTACAACCAGAAATTATTGAGAATTTAAGATTGTAATTTTTATTTTTTTTCACTCATTACTCACGTATTAAATGTGAATATTAGCAGAACATAACTCCAGATTCAAAGGCAGGTGAACAGTTAGTATTTTGTCAAGTCACCATGGGCAGCAATGCAGGCTTCAATGTGGCGGGGCACACTACTGATCAAAGAAGTTAGAAAGTCGTGGTCCATGCTGTCCCAATATCGGACCACTTCTTCTTTCATTTCAGCAATATTTGTCAGATTTTTCTTATTGACACTTTCTTTCATACGGCATCAAACAATTTCTATTGGATTTAGGTCAGGGCTATAGCTTGGCCAATCTAATGTCATATTTTGGGTCCGAAACCAGGCCTGTGAATGCTTTGAACGATGTTTTGGGTCGTTGTCCTGCTGGAAAATCCAAAAATTTCCATAGCACACGTGAGCAGAAGGAAGTAAATGTCCCTCGAGAATATCTGTGTACCGCTCATTCCCTTCAAATACACAGAGGGGCGTTGCCCCTAACGCACCCCACACGTTAAATTTCGGACTGTACTTTGGGCGCTGATACAAAGGTTTTTCAGTTTGTTTGGTCCAGAATTTCAGTCTATTAGGAAACAGCCACACAGAACTTTCATCTGAGAAAATCACATTGGCCCATTTAAAATTTCTATGCCGTAAGCACCAGTTCAACCTTCGCTCCTTTTGTTCAGGTTTCATGACCGGTGATGTAATTCTTCGACTTTTCTGCCAACCCATTGCATGCAGCCCAGTTCTAATTGTCTCCTTACAGACTGCAACAGTTCCTCAAGCAATCATATCCAGCCTTAAGTTTTCTAAACTTCTTCGTTTGGTTTTGGAAACAAGAATACCAAGCCGCCTCCTTTCACCGACAGTCAATTTTCTGGGCCTATCCGCGCCTTCCTGGTGCTCAGTGCCACATCCATTTGCAATATTTTTCAAAACACCATAAACAGTGGACAAAGGGATGCCTGTTCTACTTGAAATCACTTTAGCTGATCTGATGTCCTTGTTCTAATACTCTAAAATCAACTTCCCCTTCTCTAAATCATCCATACTGAGGATCGCTGAAAGGGAGATAACTCTTCACAAACTAATGAAAAAAGGATTAACGGAGTTGTCTCTCTTGAATGAAACCAAGCACTTGATAGCTGGTGAAGGTTGTTTAAACTAGAAATCCAATTAACATATTCCTAAAATTCTCAATAATTTCTGGTCATACTATATAGCAATAGGCTTTCGCGGCACTTCTAGCACAACTTTGGTTTTCGCTTTACCGGGAATAGGGAATATTGAAATTTTGATTTCCCGGGCCGACACCTACTGGAGACCATGGGAACTAACAGTACTTTGGTTCAGGAATTATGCCATCACTTTGATCACAGTGGGGGTACGTAAAGCTAGCTCATATCATCTTAAAAACACAAAAAAAATCCAGATTTCTACAGTGCTAGTACTTTACACTTTGATCAAGAACACAATTACTGAAGAATAATCTATGTTGATCATGATAGTAAACTAATCTAAAACATATATTGATATTTGAAAATTAATCTTAAACTTCCATTTCTCTTAAAAAAAACAATAAATAAACGAACACGGAATATGAATTTCAAATATCCCATGTGAGGAAATATATCTACACAGTCAAGCAAAATATGCTCGACTTTAATTCTCTCACCACAAGTGCTACAAAATGGAGGTTCCTGTTCTTTCACTAAATATTCGTGTATATATCAAGAATGGCTAATATGCCATGGTAACATAATGGCCGTGGTCTGGACTGGCAGCCAAGGCAGGTGCACACGACACCAAATCACATTCAAAGTCGTGTGTAAACAAATTCACGAAAGTTGTAGTTTCTAAGGGTAAGAATTTTGTTTCATACTATCAACCACGGCCAAACTGATGATTGTAATGAATGGGCGCAATGCCTTAATACGTTTAGTCATTGATTTCATTTATCTGAAAAAGTTTATAAATCATTTCCATTTCGTGATTTGCTTTTTTTATCGGTGTATAAAACAAAACAAAACAACAACAGAAAAGAACGTTTTGATACCTGAACGCAAATAAGTGTTTTCCTTGTTCGTGTTTTTGAGACATCTGGTGAATGTAGTCCCTGTTTCTTGGCACCGACATGATCCAAGTCATTGCAGCGGAAAGTCTTTTAGCTGTACAAGAGTTACGCCCCTTGGCACCATACCGAGCTACTGCGTTCTGACCTTTTAGCTTGCTGTCAGTTGGCAAACTCTACGCAGACAAGCACAATGTCTAGGTAGGTAGATGTTCCTTTACTAACATGTCATGCATGAACTCATGGTGTATTCCACAAAGCAACGTGCAGGTCGAATATTCTTTTCCGCACCATCCAGTCTATGGTCACGAATTGAGTCACTTGAACTGAGTGCATAAAGAACTGCACGTCAACATCGCGCTCTAATGTATCTTCTGCAGTTCTGTCTTGCATCGGTCATTGAATGCGATACTCTTCCAGTTTTTCATTTGTTGGTGCATGGTGCCACAAGACCATATATGGTCTATCAAACAAAGACGCGTTGTTATTTGTGCTTTGGTTCCATATATGGTCCCATGGAAATGACCAAGTCCAATAAGATGTCAATCCAGCACAATTATGTTTACCCAGCTTTGCAGGCCTAACATTGTGGAATTCATATGATATGGTATACAGCGTTGCGCCTTCTGACATGTGATGAGATCTTTTCTTCCATTTTATTTGTAACTACTTGAAATGAAAGATGGCAAATTTTGATTGTGGTCACATATAGTATGGCTGAAGGGGGTCGTGGGCACAGGTACCACACAGATGGGTAGCCAAGGTACTTTTCTGTATACAGACATGTACCCTAAACAAAGTCTAAATACAAAAATATTGCTGAAATATTAAGGCGTCATAATTAAAGATGACTCCATTTCCCAATTAATTCCAAGGTGAAACTGTATTTCTTCTTTGTTGATCATTAATGTGAGGATACACCCTTATATTCGGGGTGACTAATGAGGTAGAAAAAAAACTATTCCGATAGCGATAGTCTATTGCAACATACAAGGGTTGTGGACAAAAGGTCCAAAATTGAAAAGTCAAAAGGGCCAAAGAAAAGTCAAAAGGGCCAAAGGAAAGTCAGAGTATGTGACCTGTTCCCACATACTATTGCAACAGCTATTGTCTATTGCGACCAACTATTGCAGTACTACTACTATTGCAGTATTTTTTTTCCTTCAAGAATTGTCACATCTGAAGTCCTTTGCCAAATGAATGTATAGTGTAAATGAATTAAACACAAGTTGAAGTGGTCTCAGTCTCTTTTAATAACTGACAAGAAACTTGAAACCCAGATCAAGTAAACAGTTAAAACCTAAACTCAATGAAGCTGCAAGTCTGCACCCAATCATCCTGTATCTTGCGCTAACACTCATTCTGTAGCTAAGTAAAGTATGTTATGGTAAAAGCGAAACTCAAATAAGATGATTAGTATTTAACGGAGATATTAAAGACATGTATATTTTCTTCTTCCTTACCATAGTGGAGACTATTCTGGTGTTAAAAAATCCAAATAACTGTCATGAATATCAAAGAAGAGTTCCAGTCGATATCTTCAAAAGGTCACTTATCTTTTGGCCCAAAACCATGCCAGTGTGATTTCTAACTACATCATTGGTTTAAGTGATGTTCACAAAATACACTTGTTTGGAGACAAGAACATTTCCAGAAGTCGACAAGTCGATAATCTACACAAAAATTTCAAAATGAAGTATTTGAATGTTTTCGTTTCTTAAAAGGATTCCATGAACATATGTGGTTGATTCCAACGAAAAGTGTACGCAGCTACGTATAAGGTTTCCAAAACAGAATTGCTTGCACCTTGTAATTCTTTTTACCAAAGTAAAGTCAACATATTCGCCTCTTATGAAAATCAGTTGCCATCACTAATCTATAAAAGTGACAAGTTGGTGGATCAGTGAAGTTGAAGGCTCATTTTCTGAATTACCTACTGTAATGTATTGATTTATTCAACTTTGGATTGAGGATATTCATGTTATTCACATGCACGGGCTTATCGCATAGCTGGGTTAGAGATTATTTCAGGTAGAGTATAAATACAAGCGAGTGCTATGTGACATCACTCGGCAGCCATATTCCAACCTGGTGATGTACCTATATCGTTTCTCTTGGGGTGATTAAAAGTGTGTGAAACAAGAAGATGTTGTGTGCTGATATGAGAAGGTGATACACTACACCTACTTATAATAACATCATACCTTATATATCTTGTGATTAGATGGATTGTATGTTGCCTAACATCCAAATTTACTGTTGTTCTGCATGCTTAATATGTTAATGACTATAGGAAGTCTGAAGCCATATCATGGTTTATTTCATGTTTTGTAACCTCAAGCTTTACGAAAATAGAACCATTTTGGTACCTTTGTTTGGTGTAAGTGAGATAGCACCACTTAGTGTTCTTTTCACAAACAAATGATTGTTACATATCTATCTTATTTATCTGGGAGACAACAAATGGAACTTACGGTAAGTACAACAAATTTGAAAATGCATCAAAAGCTAAATTTTGGGTGGAAGACAAAAAAATTGTACTTGTAGGTAACAAATATCACATTATTCCTTGTAGAGTGAGACCTCAGATATCCGGACACATTTGTTTTTACGTAAATTGTCCGGATAATTGAATGTCTGGATATCTGGATTTTTCGTTTTCATACACCTCAAGGAAAATCCAAAATGTTTATGATCATCAAGCCTTTATTGTACATTGTAGCGAGCATATGCTTCGGGGTTGAAATCACTTCCAAAACATTGAATAAACAACTTAACAGTTTGAACTCAATGGTTAACTCAGTGTCAGCTAGGCCTACTAATCACCACCAATACCTTGCTGACCGGTCATTAATCCGGATTAGCAGACCATGTCTCGTGTCAAAACACGTGGCACTGTCGCGCTTCCCTTCACACTGTCAGCGGTAAATCAAAGCTTCGTGCGGATACGTGAGTCAATTTTGTGTTGATTTGGCCGGTTGGTTTGTAAAATATACCGTCCGGAAACGGAAACCGAATATCCATTATAGACAGTCACTTTTATAACGTAAGAGATTGTTTTTTCTAAAAATTGACCGGAAGGCGAGGTTTCCGGATATCTGGGGTCCGGGTATCCGGGGTCTCACTGTATGTCGTAAATGTTTATATATGTCAAACTAAATCATAGCTAGTTTGTTAAGACATCGAAAAGTTTGGAAATTGTTTATCTAAATGCATAGGATATGTGAATAAAGACTGTTTACAACCAGTTTAAGGCTTACTCTTTGTTTTGTCTCAGTGTATGTCCGAAACTAGCAATGTCATTTGGACTGATGGAAATAGAAATTTAATTAAAATCATTACACCTTAAATTATATTTACCAAATGTTTCAACTGACATTTGTATTCAAAGAAAGCACATCACAAATGTTCAAAACGCTTGAACTATTTTGGTATTTTTATGTATTCATAGGTAACATAATACATTTGTTCTGAATAATAACTGAAAACAATCTCTAACTAAGAACATCATTTCATCAAATCTGCTTTCTACACTATACTTTACTCTCTGTTCTGTTTCTCCCTGTATTCTCTATAAAGTTAATCAGCTTTCAGAAGTGGTTTTGCTCAATGTTTAGCCAAGGTTTTCAACTTGCAATTTAGGAATTAACGATGAAACAAACAAATTATTTGTCTTAAATGTGTCATCTGAGAATTGTATTCATAGAAACAACATTGCAACCATTGCAGATAACAGGACTGTTTTTGTTTTTCATATGTGTGTAGGTATCATGATCAGTTGGTAGGTAACTAGCAAATCCAACAAAGAACATCAACACAAATTTCTTTTCTGAACTGTTACTCTTTGTCCTCGCTATATCTGTATTTACAGTTCATCAGCTTTAATTATCCATATTTTGCAATGACAGTTGCTATTAGATAGACATTTACAGAACGTTTCAACTACAAAAACGAGTTACCTACGAATAAGACATACTTTTGACAAATCTAATTACTAAACCCATGCAACTAACCTCTACTACAGTCTCAATTCCCCTATGTTCACAAGTGCATTGGTGACAGCCCTCAAAAAAGACATACAACTTCAAACACACTGAATGATATTACCTACAAATACGTAATGTTACCAACGAATACACACGTTACCTACGAATCTACCGTTTATCGCATCATACCATGCAAACTTTTACTTTTATCACCAAGATCAACTTGTTTTCTGACATTTCAATCAAAAAAGAATTCATTCTATCACTATAATAAAGTCTAAACCACAAGCTGCAGTGCATCCCTGAATAGAACATTTTTATTGAACGCTGAGTTATATAGCCATTTGAAATTCCAAGGAATCATTTCAATCTATCAACAGGTAGTACTGCATACCTAATTAGTTTTATGATCTGCAATAATTTTTAAAAATTATAAATTATGTTATAGCAGTGTATTGTGTTCTCTATTTCATTTTGTTAACAACGAATACATGTTACAAACAAATAACGTGACCCACAACCGGATAAATCCCATCGGGACACCATGTCTTACTAATTGAAGCCCCCATGTCAGTTCCACTTGCAGTCTGATGCCTTTTTCTACAATAATAAGATTTAAAACCTCACTAAAATTAAAGTTGGTTAGTTGTAACAGGTGTCATATGCATTATTTGTTATTGTGACATGGGTTTATTCATATATACATTCTTACAGAAAATGTAAAATACACTTATTAAACACCAAGATGTTGTCTGGTCTCATCTATGATGACTTCCAAAAGGAACACATGTAAAGGTAGCTAACTCCACCAATCTATTTTTTATTATTCTTTGTATAGTATATTTATATCGTGCACATATCCATGCAACTAATGCATGCTCAAGGCGCTGGTATTGTTTTCCCTCGATCATTGGATGTCAATCTCAACTCCCTGGGGAGTATTCAACTCTTGCATCCACTAGGCGCACCGAGTTATTGTGGCTTTCTCATCCTAACAAGGTACCCATTCACAGCTGGGTGGACTAGGACACATAGTCACAGTACTTTGCCCAAGTTCACTGCACGTTGCTGTACCCGCAACTAGGTGTTTGCATGTATTCATGTGGCCACCATCTGGTCATATACCAATGGATTCGTGGGTTCTTCTAAGTGCACAGGGTTGTGTACTGTACACTAGGGGTTGTGACAACACTGACAGAGTCTGCACACAAAGTT